CAATAAAAAGTTCCTATACAATCACATGAAAAAAATGGAAATAAAGAACAAAATCTTGTTGGTAAATTTGAAGAACTCATCAAATTAATTTCAAACTTTCCAGACCAAATGGTCCGGTAAACCCAATAAAACCGACGATCGAGTTTATTCAATCAGTCAAATATCAACTTTGACCATTTTATATAAGAGGGCTTCTAATATTGAAAGGAATGGCCATGTTGTCGAAGGTTAGCCATATTAGAGTGCTTAAATTAATAAATACTGATGCCAGTGGTCCGTCCAAACTGTACTTAAGCCTATTCCCCTTTGACGTTATTTGAGGGTGCTGATCCTCTTTTCCTTTAATGAACCCCTTTGACGTTATTTGAGGGTGCTGATCCTCTTTTCCTTTGAGATAAAAAAGATATACCTAGAGTACATTTTGCCTAAAGGAGTAACCGGATAATATATTTATGCAAAAGTAGGAAATCTTTTGGCAAAAAAAAAAAAACGAATAATAACCTGATTACAAACTCCAAAGAAAAGGCGCAAAAAAAATAAGAATCAGAGCAATAATGCCACAACTAACTACAAAAGAGAATGAGACATCGCCAACACCAATTCTAAAGAACTAAAGGAGAAGTGTATTAAAGTATATAAAAAAGCATATCACAGATTAAAAGGTTTCTATCGTCTAGGGAATGCATAGTTTTTCTTGCCTTGCTTTTCAACTTGCATTTTACAAAAGGCAGATAAAATATTCAAATCAATATAATAAACTCCTACTTCTCAAAAACTTAATGTTCTCCATTGGAGTTTCTCCTCCTCCAATTTTCATATCATCGTTTCATTGCTATTTTCTCCTCCACCCTGCCAGATACAACAGAGCTTATGATAATATTGCTCATGACAAAATTAGCCTGAAAATAAGATGACAAAAAATTTCCATCCATGTTTGTAGTTTCATAAATTAAGAAATCAATAAAAAGGACAACTAAAAATGTGAGAAAATTATTAAGAACAAAATTAAAGTGAACCTATTTACCAGTATCAAGAAAATTTGCACCTCAAGCGCGAATCTTAAACATAAGAGTTCTGCATTTCCGCGAGCAAACTTTACATATCTCTCTGAGAAGAGTATCTCATTTTGGTGCGCAACAATGGTCTTCAAGGCATTTTCCTTGAGAGTTTCATTCGAGCAAGTCTCTGACAGCTCGAGAACCTCAAGAACATTTGATGAGTCGAGAGTCCGAACGATTTGATATTCGCACTGCTTTTCAAGAAAAGGGATGTCAAATTTATCTGCTGCAACCAAGAGTGAATGTGCATGTTTTCTGAATTCATCATTGGGCAAGAAGCCTCTATAAAGAAATTCCAACAAAGCTTTGAGCTCATGGGAATTCATATCAGGAATGGGGAGAGCATCTTTAGGCTGTGCTTTACATTCATCAACTTCCAGCATCGTTCTGAAAATGGGCGATCTAGAGGCCTACACGAGCAGCAAATGTAACTCTTATTATAAAAAAATTCCCTCTCCTTGTCTGTCTTTTTTTATGTTTTTTAATTAATATCTCGTTTTAAAAAATGAAATCGCGACGAATTAGTGATGATATCAATACCAAAAGGGCCCTAAGGATTTCAGATGTAAATTAACAGAAAGTAATAGTTTTTAAAGCAATTTTTATGAGATAAACTGATAAATGAATTAGAACATATATATATATATATATATACATGCATGATTAAATAAAAATAATGTGTTATAAAATAAACTAGCATTTAAAATTCAAAAAAAAGAAGATGCATAACGTTTCCTTTGTTTATATTGGACAATGTATCATTGTTTTAAGTTTTAACCCCTATCTCAAGTCCTCAGAGCGTACTAAATTTGAGTTTCAATATCATGTTACAGGAATTCTGTGATTTCCTCAACATACTTTCATGCAAATCATCACAGCTAATACATTTTTTGAATAAATTAGCACAGAAAAAGGGCAAATAAAGTTGTTGCTTTTAGCATCACAAATAGGGATCGGGCAAAAGCACAACATTCAATTTTGGTTACTAAAAATTTCGAAGTAATTCAATCAAGAAGACCCAGTCCATATAGGTACCAGAATTGCTTTGTGTGCAAGAGTTACAGGTCCATTGAAACGTTCCAAATGAATATCAGCGTGAGTCCCATTCTCTAAAGCAAATTTCAGCTCATCCAAAAATCCGACCCTTTCATCCAAAGCATCCTTAATCTGCCTTAATTCCACGAATCGATCATTTAGAACATGCATATTCTTCTCCAGTTCATTGTAAGCCAAGGAAAGCCCCTGCAAAACAGGAGTTTGAAGATAAAAACAAATGTTCATTCTCCAAAGCAAATTTGAGTTCCTCCAAAAGTCCAACCCTTTCATTCAAAGTATCCTTCCTCTGTTTCATTTTCATGAATTGATCACTCAGAACGTCCATACTCACCTTCAGTACAATGAAAGTTGAGACAAGCCCCCTCTACAAAAGAAGTGTTTAAAGATGAAATATACTTGTAAAATTTGAGTTGAAAGTAAAGTAAAATTCCTAAGGATAAAATGTGCGAAAGTACACCATAATATTATTTAATTTTGATATAAGGAGATCACAATCACTATTGACTAATAAAACATGCAATAAGATCATTTACTTTTGATACAAAGATATCACAATCACTATTGACCGGTAGATAAGAAATTTGGTGGTTTACAGTGTAGAGTCAAAATCAAATTTTCTAGAGGCCTGTGACACACCCTAAGCGGTCAAGTTTAACATCTGGTTAGGAGTAATTGGGACCTTCTTGTACCAAAAGTGAATTGTCTTATAATACAATTGCATAAAATGATTGTTTTGTATAGTGCTTAAAAATCCACACCAACGAGCTCTATGATGAAGTCTCTGACTTCATTCTCACCAAAGAGTAGAGGCTCAAATGCCCACTAATTTATCCTTTTTTTTTTTTATTACAGTTCCAATGGTGTAAACTTCCAACTGGTTTTTTAGTTTTATTTTTTCTAGGGCAGTCCAATGCCGCGAATACTTGGACTAACTCATTTTTGTGGCAATCCGATATTGAAAAAGTTCGGCCACCCTTTGGTTCTACATGTTAAGTATGAAATGGGGTTGTCCGATGTCATAAAAAACAGACCATTTTAAATTATTAAAAAAAGTAGGCAATCCAATATAACATCAAACTGCCCAAGAATCTTAAGTCATCCACTCAAAATTGTGACCCCTGAAGTTTTAATCGTGCAGGATTAGGAAGAATAGTCGTCAAAAGAAAGACGGTTTGAATGATAACAATACAATTTATTAAAGAATAATGTAAAGAGCAGTTAGCCACCATGTCCATGCTTGTTCATTATTTGATCAACTGAGGTGAAGAGATATTCCCCCTATTTTATTGGTTTATTTATTCTTCCCGTCGCTTAATGAAATTTCTATTCTTACTACTATTACATTTGTTTCATAGATACGACCGCGATGCTCAATTTGCGTTATTTTATTTCTTTGTTGTTTAACTTTGTAAGATTTTTGGGAACGTAGATGTTATTTACATGACTTAATTTTTTTTATATAATTTAAAATAGTCACTTCAGAACGCCTCATTCATAGCTAACATGGGATGGAAGGAAATACTGAACCGCCCCAAAAATGAGTCGGTTTAATATTTGCAACATAAAATATCTTCAAAAACAATTATTTACAGCCTCTAACATGGGGATGGAAGGAAATACGGAACCGCCCCAAAAATGGGTAGGTTTAATATTTGCAACATCAGATATCTTCAAAAACAATTATTTACAGCCTCATGTTTGCAGCAAGAGACCAATGGAAAATTAAATTTTTTTAAAAAAAGGGGATAAAAACGAGGGACATGGCAGGACAATTAATTACAATAACTCCAATAAAATTACGATATTGTCTCTCTTGCGCCACAATGTTCGATGGTTATTGGGGATAGCAAGACAATTAATTTTTGGATTGATCCATAGTTATTAGAAAAATCCAATTAATTTTTTGATAGATCCATGGTTATTAGAAAAATCCATTTTAAAATTTTATAGTTCTCGTAATCGCAAGGACCTGAGAAGTTTTGCCAAGCCTAAGATTGTAGACTACTTTTATGGTTGTTCACAATCCTAGTGTTCTCCTACCCCTGCACCAGGACACGCTCTTAGAACCTCGAATTAATAGATCTGAATTTGGATGGAATTGGAAGTTGCTTCAATCCCTCTTAAACTCCAAATTGATCTTTTGGTATTGATTCACTCTGCAAATGAAATGTTTTCTGTTAAAACGACATGGAATTTCATCCATCGTAAGGGCTCTTCTCAAACAGTCTTCAAGGCACTATGGTCTTCTAAGAGTCCTCCAAGGGCTAAATGGTTCTCGTGGTTTAGCCTTCGTCATCGTCTTCCAACCTCTTCACTCATGCAACGAAGGGGAATCAACATTACTTCTATATGCCTTTTTTGTAATATTAATGATGATAATATTTGTCATATTTTACTTGAATGTGTTTTCTCGTAGGGATTTGGAGGACGATAGCACAACAATATGGTAAACACTTTATTATATATTGTTCTATTACAGCTACATTGTGGAAATAGTTAGCATTCAAATTCAAGTATGATGGTATTATCAACATTTGGCATTTTCACTTCTTCACAACTATATGAATGATTTGGGATAAGCGGAACCACCGTATGTTTCAAGGAAGGACACTCACTCTCGAGAAATGTATTTGAAGCAATGATTTAAAAAACGGATTGGTGACCCGGATCGGGTTTCTAAAAAACCTATCCGGATCGGCGAATCGACGATCCGGATCGAGAATCGGGTGAATCGGTCAGAATAAAGCTTAAAAAATATCCGAAAAAATTATTAAAATTCATTATAAATATTGTTTTTTATG